GGGGGGGGGTGGTTGGGGTGCAGGCTGCCTGCTTCAGACTCATTCTCCCTGCCCTGCTGCCCTCCCACCGAGGCCTCCACAGCTCAGTGAGTGGGACCCAGCGTGGCAGGGAAGAACAGGGTGGGGAAGCTCAGTGCTGCCTCCCTGAGCCTCACGCCACCCTAGCAAGGTTCCCCCTGTGGTAAACTGCGGCGGGTGAATAGCCACCCCTCCAGTACGACCAGGCTGGGGACGAAAGGGACACTGACCCAAATGAAGATGATATGGTAGAATGAAGTTTTACTTACAACTTGCATAGGAAGACAGAAAACTCTTTAACAACTGTTTGCAATGTTACAGTCGGAGAGCGATTACAATAACGACAACAGCAACAATAACTGCCACACGAGAGCTCACTATGTTCGGGTATCGAGTATACATTCGACCTAGGGGACGTGGGATCCTGGAAAGGGTGATCAGGCCTCTCCAAACTGATGTGTGGATCCCCCCTAGTTCGGGAGTTCTGTCCCTTTTATAAACTAGTGAGCCAATTAGAATGTGCTGCTGATTTTCAGTCAGGAGCCCATGACTGCCCGCCTTGCAGTCACACGCTTCATGTAGCCTCTGATTGGCTGAGGCCATCTGATCACGCGCCTGTCAGCACTGTGATCATGAGGTTTTCACACCCCAAGCATAACTTGCTCTCATGCTTTACATTGGTCTGGCATGTGGACTGGCGTTTGGTCACCTTTTTATTCAGACATGCCCCCTTGACCAAATGCCAGATTAAATACCTTCGAGTTCTATTTCTTCTTCATTTACATTAGGCAGTTGGGTATACACGAAGGTCGAAAGCGTCATTACTCGACGTTTAACTGTGTTCAAAATACAACAACCAATACAAACACACAGCAAAATGCCTAGTAAGGGTATTAGTAGGGTTAACAACGGAGCGATTATACGCATGGCTAGTGAAGAAAAGTCCCAACCAAATCCTGAAAAAAGGTCTGCAAGCTAGCCTTTACTGATACTAGCTATGGCATTAGCGCCTTTAGCTGCTTTTCGAATTAACTCGAGTTGGGACATTAAAGGAACTGTAATATTCGGGATAGATATGCAGCAATATTCAGTGGATAAGTTTAAATACTTCCATACTCCTCCATTATGCACTAACATGGCATCTAAAGCAAGCCTATTTTGTAGGGTCATTCATGATGTTTCTTGTAACTGCCTATTCATTAAGGTCAAGGCTTCGTTAGTGGCATTGAACCCTACTTCTACCTCTTCAGCTAGGTGGACAACGGCATCACGGGCTTTCATTATTCCCACCCATCATACGAACAGGCCTTCTACTTGCCATTCGATTCGTTTCGCCACCCGCTCACCATAAGTCATTTTCGACCAGATGGTTGTAGTGCGCCTCTGTCTAGAATCAGAATGCCGAACCCATGGGGTATACGGGTTGGAGGTATTGGTGGCGAGAGGTGGACACAGTTCCACGCTCGCTATAAAACAAGCACTGTCGAAATCAACGGGTAAAGCCGTATATAGTAACCCGTCATCACACGCCCACATAAGACCGCGGGGTGCGTTAGTTGGCAAATTATGTCTTCTACACCACAATGCTTGTACCCTGGGTGTGCAGTAGGAATGGCACAAATTACGGCTTTCAAAATATCGTACTTCCGCTTGTCTAAGGGGGAAAAATGCACTTAACAGTGGGTGGTTACCATGAAATTCTGTCAAATTTACTCCTTTGTTAGGATCCCATCCCCCTTTCC